AGCGAGTGTGCCTGCGTTCGCCCCGACGCTGGCCCATATTTCGCCTTCGTCTCGTAGAAGATCACCTCGATCGACGTTACCACCTTGTTGTCGGTCAGGTCGAGCACCTCCCAGCCCTTGCTCTCCTACGACACACCCAGGTGAAGCCCCTAGCGAGACTTCGGCGCCAGCTTCCCACCGCGCTGCTGCTCGGGAACCATGAACTGCACCATACAGCCCCACACCCACGCCTGCGTGAGGTCGGTCTTCTTACGGTCAGCAGCTGGTATGGAGTCGTTCCCGACGGCGTCGTCAACCGCTCCAAGCAGTTGCGCACCCAGACATCTTCTCAAAGAGCGAGGTGCCATCAGTGGTGTTGCACGCCCATGTGCAGCAACATTGCTCACACGGACTCGACGACCGTGCGCATCTCCCGCTCAGCCATGCCATTCTGCTGCAGCGTGTAGGGGCATGTCAAGTCATAGACGATGCCCTTCCCGTCGACGAAGTTGGTGAAATCCTTACCAGGAACTCCCCTCCCCGGTCGGAGCGAAGTGACAGCACCGACTTCTTCGTTTGCTGTTTCACCAGCACCAGCCATCTCTGGAACTCCTGCAGCACGTCGCTCTTCTTAGCGACCGGCATTGCCCACACGAACCGAGTGTGACGATCCTTCAACAGCAGGAAGTAGAAGCTGCGATAATTGGCAGCCACCCGAAATGGCCCGCACAAGTCAATGTGCACGTCAGCTAGTGCCTCCTCGGCATCCGAGCCCTTGTCGGGGAAGGTGTGCCGTGCCAGCTTTCCTCCGACGCACGAGACACACGGCGGGCCTGCTTCGGTCGACGGCGTGATGTCGAGCACAGTAGCAACTTCATGCTTCGCCGAGCTCTTGATCGTGTCGATGCCAATGTGTGCGAGCCTCGCATGCAGATGGTTGGGTCAACTTCGTCGCCGAGATGATCGTCCTCAGGGCCACCACCTTGGTCGACGGCGACCGCGTCGAGCGGGGGCGAAGGTCGGTGCAGAGGGCTCGTCCGGTGTTGCATCTCGTCGCCGTCGCCGTGCAGCTGCACTCCGCTCTCCTTTAGCTGGCCAGCTGACAGAAGATTCGCCTATTCTGTCAGCTGTCCTTCAGCTGACAGAAGGTTCGTACGTCGGGGATGAGGACCCGCTTCCCGGCCTCCCCCTCCTTGCGGAGTGACGGTTCCACGACCCTCGACAGGCTGCAATGCCCCGCACGTGCTTCACACTGTCGCTCGGCACCATGTCAACGAAGACCACCTTCGTCCCCATAAGGTGGTGGGAGCACCCGTTGTCGAGCAGCACTGCCATCGGGTTGGCCTGTACAGCTGCCGCCACCGCCTGGAAGTCCTCGCTAGCCTCCGGCGCCAGCGAGATGGTCGGCTCCACCACGTCGACCATCGAGCACGACGCCTCCCCGTCGCCTCGGCCCTTGCCGCTGGAGTTGTCGACGTCCTTCGTCGACGACGTCTTCTTCGACGTCTGCTTCTCCCTGCATGGCTTTGCATCTCGACGGGGGCGACGACTGGCCGATCGACCGCGGCTTCTCTTGTTGACGTCCTCATCGTTGTCGTCGCGTTCGGGACATTCGTAGGAGAGATGGTCGGGGTCGTGGTAGATCCAGCACTCCCGCCGTCGACCACCACCTCCACGGCCCTTGTCCCGCGTCGACCGCTTCTCGTCGACCGCCCACCTCCGCTACCACCTCCGCCCAGCTTCCCGCCCTGCTCCTGCTGATGATTCTACTTCGTCGGTGCAGCGTAGCTTGCTTGCGAAAGGATCTCCATGGGCTGTTCTGCCTCCTGCATCGCCTCATCTTGGAGGATGTAGCTGGTGAGAGAGTCCTCGCCGAGAAAATCACGTGTGCGGCTGCCGTTGACCGCTGCACTCTCTTCTTCATGCCATCGCTACCGCTGACTCGTGCACCACCGTCGACTTCGTTGTCGACACCACCTTCGATTCGCACCGGTCGAGGAGGTGCAAGATGGGAAGGGTGCTCCGTCGCCCACTGCGCCCGGATGCCCAACACAGCGATCGCCCAGCGGATCGTCCCGTACTCGCCATCCGCGTGGCGTCTCCTCGCATCAGCCAAACGTTCCTCCAAGGTCTATGCTACTCCCGCATCAGCTACGGGGTCGACCATGGCGACTAACGCTGCTGCCGGCCTACGAACTAGCGGTAAGAGTTTCCACTAGCAAAGTAGAAATTACAGAATGATTAAACAAGCAATGACAAACTGACTACATCAGGCCCCTAGCAACTCTGCAGCTAACCTGGCCGACCGCCAGCACTGCATGCTCGACCGCATGCCAGCGTTGCGTAGACGAGCCCCGCAAGCACTGCAGAAGGGCGACCTGCCAGCAGAGCAGGTCGACGGCGCGCCAACGCTGCAGCAGGGTAGATGTTCAGCATTGCCCCGTAAAAGACACCAGTGCGCACGCTCACAGGTGCGCGCAGACGATTGGCCCGACTTGCATTGCTGTGCATCCGTCGGCTGTTGTCTGCGCCTGACAAGCCACATCGACTTCGGGATACCAGCCCGAAGTTGCCTTCGTCATCGAGACCTCAACGACGTTCGCGTGCCTCCGCAAAACTCGCCGAGCAGGTTACCTGGTCGACCTGGACACCACCAGGTGCTCCGGTCGACCACCAGGACCCCCGGTCGACGACCAGGTGTCTCTGGTCGACCACCAGGTGCCTCTGGTCGACCACCAAGTGCCCTTGGACGACAACAGCTCCTGTTGAGTTGCCCCCTGGTCGACGGACCCCTTCCGTCGACCAGAACTCTCATCCAATGTCGGGTCGTCGGACTGCTCCAATGACCTCCCTGTCGAACTGGCACTCCTGGTGGACGGCCCACCCGTCGTCCAGCCCAGTCAGTTGTGCCCGTCGCGCACCCCTGGTGGACGGAAATCCCACGGTAACACCCTGCAGCTCGATGAAGCCCGTCGAGCAGCTCCCTCACTGTGAACGATTGACTGCTTCTCCCGTACATCCTACCAAGTTGTCGGCGTTGCCCAAGCGAGGGCGGGGCCAACACTCCATTCCTGTTAAGAGCGTGCGGCCTGACCATTTGATATAATAAACATGATCTGGCTACAATAGCGTTCGCGCCTTCACCGAGTGTCAGGAAAATCGCGGGCAACACGGAATTACACTTCATCGGACTAACTTGGATGCTAGGTGAATAGTGGCTCGCCGATATTGTCGGGGGTTCAATCGAAAAAAAAAATGACGGTGGGAGACAGGTGAACGTCTGCTCGTCAAATGACTTCGCGGTGTATTTCGAAGTTGCCTGGGGAAGTTCTACGACGAGATCAGTGGCGTTGATGCGGGCTAGGTTCCGTGAAATTCGGTCCCGGTAGACCCATAGTTCTGGGTTTCACACAAAGAGCGCCTCTTTTTGGTGGGAGATGAGGATGGGAGAACGGATAAGATGCCGATGGGAGAACGGATGAATGCAGATGGGAGAAATGGGAATGGCGGATCCAAAACGATGACGTCACGTGGCATCGACCACCTGACACATAGCAATACTCTTTACAAGCTCAATATGCTGATCAACATTGCGATAGCGCTTGCACTTATCTATAGCCTGTCAAAACGCTGCAACCAATTCTCTGGCCGGGTATCAGCAATCGCTATAACTGGTGATAATTCCAGCACACTAATAGAATGGGTTTGAAAATAACATCGAAGCACGCACGAAATGCGGGTCACGATCGAAGCGCACTTGCGGTAGACACCACGCATCAAGAATGCACCTTATAAATCTCCGTAAGTATCTAGGAAACTGCGTCGACCTTCGCTAGAATTTCATGCCTAGGGTTTCAGCCTTGGGAACTTGTTTGGTGATCAGATTCCGTTTTCAGTGATCCCTCCTACTTTGAGGCGGGAACACGTTGTTGTGATCAACGAGTGTCGGACACATTCGCGAGCGTTTCGTCAAGCACGACACAATGGGAGCTAGTAACAAAACTGGTTTTCGCACTTCTCGCTGACACGGCTCTGTTTGGCTGCACAAAGACAACAAACCTGCAACACACAGAAGTGCAACACATCGGCAGCCTTGGTTGGGAAGGTTGAGACGCGTTACAATTGAAACATCGAACCTGTAAGGAAGGGGATCGATGTGTGCATGTACAGTAAGTCGTAGTGTGTTGATAACACCAACTATACTTTTTCGTGTGTAACAAATTTGCACACGTCGTCAATCGCGATTCAAGCCTTCTTCGCGACAGACGACGTAGAATGCGTAGCGTAGCCTACCTCTGTACCAGAACACACAGGCGTCAGCGTCGATGGGGTACTTTAGGGTTTACTAGCCGCCCGATTTTTTCTACGCACAGCACCCGTTGTGGGTTAGCAGGCATCTTGTTCTACATCGGCACCCCTACTGCGTCAGCGCGGGGCGTATCATGTTTATGTGGCACCCCCGGGCAGTGGGTCGTCTTGTACAGCAACCCCGGCGTATCATGTTTAGGGTCCTTAGCCCATTGTCAACGGGTGGTACAGTAACGCCGCTGGCACCCGTATGAACCGCCCTTCAGAAGATAGTGTCAACGTCGGCGCCACATGGAGGCCACGTTCGTCGTTTGCGGGCAAAGGGACGTTGGCAATGGCACCCCGTATGATCCGCGTCAGCACGGCATTCCGCCCAGCATTTCCCTGCTGCTGTTGTTCTAGCCTGGGCTCCCCTTTGGGTTGACTTCCGCTGCTGCTGTTGATCTGACCTGGGCGCTCCCCTCACCCACGTTCCAAAGAGGACTCCCCTTCGAGGCGCTACACGGCCGTTGGTTGCGTGAAAGCAGTGAGTGTCCCCGTCTCAGCAGTTCCATCGCTTCACCTTGGGACTGTGAGTTGGTTCATCACAGCCCACTCCTGCAGATCCACTCTTTGTTTCTCCGCGTCCCTAGCATCGCTACTCTTGCACCACAGTGTTTCCAATCGTGCTTACCACGTCCCGCTATCACAGTGCTTCCAATACATCCGCGAGAATGGCTTATTCTCGGACGGCCGTCGTGTTCGTGCTGCTGCTGCATGCGGCGTGCCTCTCATCGCCTCATCGCCTCGTGGCGGGCCACGTGTGGCCTTCCAGTGAAGCCTCCCGCCGCGAGATGGCCGTCAAGGCGCCTGGTGAGCGTTCTGGTCCAGTCGTCTGAGCGTTCTAATTAGTCGTCTGAGCGTTCTAATTAGTCGTCTGAGCGTTCTAATTAGTCGTCTGAGCGTTCTAGTCAGTCGTATGAGCGTTCTAATCAGTCGTCTGAGCATTCTAATCTGTCGTCTGAGCGTTCTAATCAGTCGTCTGAGCGTTCTAATCAGTCGTCTGAGTGTTTTAATCAGTCGTATGAGGGTCTGCAGTCGTCCGTCTTGTTTGACTCGCCCATTCCATCCCACACTGTTTGAGAATTTAATCTCCCCATGACGCCCCTAATCCACCGGTCCGTGTCTCCCAGTTCCCTTCTCCCCGCCGCCAGCCACATGCCCCAGTGACGTGGTCTGCCCGACGGGAGCCTTTTGCGTGGTGGACAGCGGCGGCTTCCCCTTTTCATCTCCACTCCCCCTCCCCCTTGCCCTCTCCCCTCCCACCTTCCCCCTCCCCTCCTCCCACCCCCCTCCCCCTCCCCCTCCCTCTCCCCCTCCCAGCCGCATGCCCCAGTGACGTTGTCTGCCCGACGGGAGCCTTCTGCGTGGTGGACAGCGCCGGCTTCCCCTTCTGCAAGTGCCTCCCCGGGCAGGGCATAGTCAACGACGCGTGCTTGGATGCCATGAGCTGGAAGACGGTCGGCACGAGCGTGGTGCTCTACAACGCGCCCTCCTTCGCCAACTCGCCCGCCACCCTCGCGCCTGCCGTGCTGCGCGCGCCAGCACCCAACTCATCAGCCTGTACTGTTGTCCCGAAGGGGTTCAACGGCACGGTGGGGTCGCTGCGCATCATGTGGAACGTGAATGACGGCGCGAGTGACCACCTGGTGTGCGGCAAGGTGGTGTTCTGGGACAAGAATGACTGCTCTGGCTCTTCGTTTGTGTACGAGATTCCCGGCAAGTGGACTGCCGCCAAGGCCGACAACTTCAAATACGCCACCACCAGCGTCAAGTGAGTGGCACAGCGCAGGGGCGAGCCAGTGGGGCAAGGTCGAGCGAGTGGCTTTAATTGTGTTACTTATGTTGACCGTGGCTCTGCTTGAGTTTGCTTGCACTAATCTTGTCTCCGCATGTGTTACTTATGTTGACCGTGGCTCTGCTTGAGTTTGCTTGCACTAATCTTGTCTCCGCGTGTGTTACTTTTGTTGACCTTGGCTCTGCTTGAGTTTGCTTGCACTAATCTTGTCTCCGCGTGTGTTACTTTTGTTGACCGTCGCTCTGCTTGAGTTTGCTTGCTCTAATCTTGTCTCCGCGTCTGTTACTTATGTTGACCGTGGCTCTGCTTCTGCTGATTGCGTTGATCGTGGCTCTGCTTGTGTTTGCATACACTAATCGTGACTCGTGCGTGTGTTGCCTGTTGTGACGGAGTGCAGGAAGGCAGCGGGCGTGGTGGCTGCGGGCAGGTCGTTCTCGTGCCTGGCGGCCGTGAAGCCGCCCGTCACGGACCTCTGTGCCACGGCGGCATGCCCGCCCAACTCCAAGTGCATCCTCACCAACAGCTCCTTCGCGCAGTGCGTGTGTGATCCTGGACTGACCTTGGTTCCCGAGGGCTACTGCGTTGGTGAGTCGTGAGTGGAGTTGGGTGGACCATGAGATGGGAGGTGATTCATGGATACCCCTTGCTGCACACTCCGTGATTTGATTCATTCATGCACTCCCATCTGTCGACGCTTGCACGCATGATGGCAGTTTACCCATGTGCGTCATGACTCATGACTCGTGACATTGCAGTTGGCCAATGTGCGTCAAGACGTAGCACCTTTCCCTCCGCTAAGTTGTCCTGCATGCACGACATGTCCTGTGCTCTCATCGATCCGTTTTCGTCCAGAATGTCTTTATGAATGCACACTCCTGATGTTGCCAGTCTGCTGATTCTTTCTTTTGATGCAGATTCGTGCTCCGTCAAGCAATGTGGCATCGGTGGCACTTGCGTGCTTCTATCGAACGGCGAGCCGTATTGTTCTTGCAAAGATGGCTACGAGCGGGAGTTCCTAACTGGCTCATGCATTGGTATGTGTGCTCTGCTCATGCATTAGTGTACGTTCTCATGCATTGATAAGTATGCTCTGCTCATGCATTAGTGTGTGTGCTCATGCATCGGTATGTGTGCGTACATCATGTATGTTGGTATGTTGTGCTCACATTGGTATGCGTTCTGACATCGGTATGAGTGCGTAGATTGTTATGTGTGCTTACATTGCTGTGTGTGCTCTCCCTGTCTGATTCTTCCCTTATCAACCGATATTACCTATCGGTGTTCGAAAGATTCCTGCCATCCCTTCCGTTTTTCCCCCAACCCCCATGTTGCCTACAGGAGAGGGTCAATGCAAAGACTGCCTTCAGGGTACCTTTGGCAACAACTCTTTTCCGTACGCTTACTGCCCACCGGGCTTCAACATGCGCTCTGGTGCTTGCCTGCCAGGTGGGAACTGTAGCCTGCCAGGTGGGTACTGTAGCCTGCCAGGTGGGTACTGCAGCCTGCCAGGTAGGTACTGTAGCCTGCCAGGTGGGTATTGTAGCCTGCCAGGTGGGTACTGTAGCCTGCCAGGTGGGTACTGCAGCCTGCCAGGTAGGTACTGTAGCCTGCCAGGTGGGTACTGTAGCCTGCCAGGTGGGTACAGTAGCCTGTCAGGTGGGTACTGTAGCCTTCCAGGTGGGTACTGTAGCCTGCCAGGTGGGTACTGTAGCCTGCCAGGTGGGTACTGTAGCCTGCCAGGTGGGTACTGTAGCCTGCCAGGTGGGTACTGTAGCCTGTCACGTGGGTGTAGCCTGCCAGGTGGGTACTCTAGCGCCAGAAGTTTTCTTGCTGTCTTATGCTTTCTCAGCCTGAATCTTCTCCTCTCCACCACTCCCCTGCGTCCAACAATCCAATCTCCTTGCCTTTCCCGCCAGGAGTCGTGCCTGACGTGGCAGACATCGCCATCAGCATCTACAGCACCACCAGCTTCGGCACACAGAGTGGTCCGCCGTACGTCTTCCGCCTGAAGCCCAACAAGTGTGTCACCATCCCTGCCGCCGTGGTTGCCAGCAGCAAGTCGGTGGGCATTCTGTTCCGTGCGCCTGCCACGTATGTGAGGTGCACCACCATGACCATCTACACCCAGCCCTTCTGCACTGGCATCTCTCTCAGCTCCGCCGTGCCCATCAACAATGACCTTGTTGCAACGCCCATTCCGTGAGTCTATCTCTATCCCTCTCCTCTTTCCTCCCTCTCCTCCTCCCTCTCCTCCCTCTCCTCCCTCTCCTCCCTCTCCTCCCTCTCCTCCCTCTCCTCCCTCTCCTCCCGCTCTCCCCTCTCCTCCCTCTCCTCCCTCTCCTCCCTCTCTGTCAAATGTTATAGCCTCTAGTGGGTTGCCAAAATTATATGCATGCTTAGTTTAGATAGGCTATATTGGGGTTGACACTAGGGGGTACAGAATTTCTCTCGACATTCTTGTACTCCCCCCCTTGACCTAATCAACCATCCTAGCCTAAGTATTGTGACATGGTATAGAGCTAGAGGTCCTTAGGACCTTAAACCTACCTCCTTTAGGGCCCACCTTAAAATCGCCTCTGGTTACCGCGTTACCCTGCGCCCGCCCTGCCCTCCTACGAGTCGCGCTGCCGCAGCTGCAGCTGCAGCGCGCTTTTTTTTCCGTTTTCTTTTTTTTTTTTTTTCGTGGGCGCTGCCCTGCCCGCTCTGCCCCACGCGCGCTGCTCGTCGCGTCGCCCCGCAGCCCCGCAGACCCCGCGCGCTGCTCGTCGCGTCGCGCCGCAGCCCGCTGCGCCTGCGCGCCGCACGCTTAGCCGCCCCGCAGCCCCGCGCGTCGCCCTCTCCCCTTCCAATCCCGTCGCCCACCTCCTCCCCGCCCCTTTCCTACCGTCGCGCCTCCTCCCCGCCCTTCGTACCGTCGCGCCCCCTCCTCCCCGCCCTCTCCTACCGTCGCGCCCTCCTCCCCGCCCCTTTCCTACCGTCGCGCCTCCTCCCCGCCCTTCCTACCGTCGCGCCCCCTCCTCCCCGCCCTTTCCTACCGTCGCGCCCTCCTCCCCGCCCCTTTCCTACCGTTGCGCCCTCCTCCCCGCCCCTTCTCACCGCGCCGCCCGCCGGCCAACGCGCCGCGCCGCCCGCCAACTAGCGCACTGCGCCGCCCGCCTCTCCATATGCCGCGCCGTCTGCCCGCCTGCACGCCTACACGCTACTCACGGTCTCCCCCCCTCCCGCGACTGGCAGCCGTGCTCTCTCAGTTTCGCCTTCTATGGCGACCTCCCGAGTACTTCGCTTTGACCCTGAGGGGAGACCGATTGACTTTAGTACGTGGCTTACGCAGGCGCAGCGCCACCTTAAGAGCCAGCGGCAGGATGGCGTGCACCTGTTCGCACACGCGTCCGGCGCTCAGACCGCCCCTCTGCAGCCTCGGCCGCTGCCCACTACCCCACCGCCTACTCCTGAGCTAGAGGCCGAGTACCAGCGCCAGCTCCTCGCTCGTGACGTGTGGGAGTCTCGTGACGCCGCTGCCTGCCTCGCCCTGACCGACCTTCTCCCGCCGACAGAGGCGGTCCACTTCGCTCAGGTCGAGTCTGCTGCAGATCTATATAAGGCTATTGTTGCTCGCTACTCCACACCCTCCTCTGCTTCGCTCAGTCGCCTCCTCGTACCCTTTATCTACCCTGACCTCAACTCCTTTGAGACTGTCTCTGACCTCGCTACCCACCTGCGCTCTCTTGACGCTCGCTTTCGCGCTGCTTGCACTGAGGACCAGCTTGCCCTTGCCCCGCCCCCTATGTGGCTCACTATTCACTGGCTAGTCACTCGACTCCCTGACCGCCTAGCCACAGCCCGCGACGCGCTTCTTCTGAAGCACCCCACTGAGCTCACCATCGATCTTCTTGAGACCGCTCTCTCGAAGATCGAGAGTAACCTCCTCACTGTTGCCTCTGCCTCTTCCGCGCCTCCTCCTCGTCTCTTTGAGGGGTGTGCGGTACCACAGCTTCCCACCTTCACTGCCTCACTTGCCACCCCCACGTCTTCTTCCTCTGAGGAGACGGCGGCTGTTTCTGTCTCTGGCGGACAGAAACGTGGCAAGGCCGGCAAGAAGGGCGGGAAGGGCGGCGGGGGTACTGGGGGTGGTGCGGGTAGTGGCGGCGGCGGTGGGGCAGGTGGTGGGAGTAGTGCTGGGGGTGGCTCGGGCCCTGACGGCCCTCCTCTCGACGGTGGAGTTCTCACTGGTGGTGCGGGGTTCCAGCAGCAGCAGCAGCAGCCGACTTCTCAGCAGCTGCCACCGCCTGGACAGCAGCAGCGGCAGGGACAGCAGCAGCAGCGCCCGCCACAGCAGCAGCCGCAGCAGTGGGGCCCGCCGCAGCAGTGGGGCCCTCAGCAGCAGTGGAGGTCTGCTGGTCCCCCGAGCACTGGGCGCAGTGGTGCCCCCTCCAGTCGGGGGCCTCGCTCGGCCGGCCGCGACGTTGGTCCCTGTGAGTACTGGATCCTTACGGGTCTTCGTAGGGACTCGTACTGTGGCCGCCCCGACCACTCTGCTGCACGCTGCTTCAGTCGTCTCGACGACCTCTACCGTTTGCACCACGGCCCCTCCGCTCCCCCGCCACCACGCCTGGGGACGCTTCTTGCTCGTGGTATTGCTGTTTTTGATATGACTATGGATGATGCTAGGTCCTATGCCATGTATGCTGATGTTGACTATAGTGCTCCTGGATCTGTGTACTTGCCTGTACCTAGCTTAGGATCTTTGCCTGTTGCTAGAGTCCAATTATCTCCAATGCTCCGCGGTCACACACCGAGTGAGATGCACCGCTGTCCACCAGTGCCTGGAGGCGTCGCCCATTGCATAACACCTCGAGGAGTAGTGGTTGCTAGTGTAGGATCTTGCTTAGCTACTAGTACAGGTACTCCCTCGGCGGACGCCTCTCTCTCTTTCACACTGGACTCAGGAGCGACGCAGTGCTTCTTTCGCGACCGCACGACTCTCTCTCCACTACCGGCGCCAGTCTCCATAGCACTGGCCGATCCCTCTTCGGGACCGGTCATTGCGACTCACGCCACTACGCTCCCGTGCCCAGCTGCTCCTTCCGGTTCCCTGACTGGCCTCCACGTTCCTACGTTCTCTAGGAACCTGGTTGGTGTGGCCCCCCTGGCGAGACAGCACGTCGGGGTCTGGGTTGAGCCTTCTGGTGACACCGCGGTCTGTGTGGACGGTGACACGTACGCCCCCTTGGCCACTTTTCGCCAGGAGCCGGGCTCCGGCCTGTACACCCTTCACACCGACCCCCGTCAGGTTCCTCCGTCCCACCAGGTAGCCAGGTCCAGTCAGGTTGCTGTGTCCGGTCTAGTTGCTGCGTCGTGCTCGTGTCGGTCGCTTGCCCACCCCTCCCTCCTCTGGCACCACCGCCTTGGTCACCCGTCCCTCCCTCGTCTCCGCGCTATGTCCAGTCAGCGTCTTGTCTTAGGCCTCCCCCGAGTCCTTCCGCCGCTCCCGCCGTCCCCAGCTCCTCCGTGCGGTCCTTGTGTCCAGGGTCGGCTGCGCGCCACCCCTCACTCCTCCTCCCTCCGTCCGGCCACTGAGCCTTTCGAGACACTCCACTTAGACGTCTGGGGCCCCGCTAGCCGTCTTGGCCCTGAGCGGGAGAGTTTCTTTTTGGTGGTCGTTGACGACTACTCTCGGTACACCACCGTGTTCCCTTTGGCGAAGAAGTCCGACGTGACTTCTACGCTGATCCGGTGGCTGCTCGCCACCGAGAGTACTCGCCGTCGTCGTGTCAGTTGTCTCCACTCCGACCGTGGGGGTGAGTTTCGCTCCGGCATTCTCGCCAGATTCTGTGCTGAGCAGGGCATCACCCAGTCCTGGACTCTTCCAGACTCTCCACAGCAGAATGGGGTTGCTGAGCGCCGCCTAGGCCTGGTCATGGAGATTGCCCGCACCTCCATGATCCACGCTCGCGCGCCCCATTTTCTGTGGCCCTACGCGGCTCGGTACGCCGCTCACCAGTTGAACCTCTGGCCTCGCGTCTCTCGGCCAGGGGCTTCACCGACCAGTCTTTGGACAGGGTCCCCTGGTGTTGCGTCGAGGTTTAGTGTCTGGGGGTGCTTGGCTCTTGTCCGCGACACCTCTGCGGACAAGATCTCACCTCGCGCCGTCCCCTGTGTCTTCCTTGGTTTCCCAGAGGACTCCTCTGACTTCACCTTTTACCACCCTCCCTCCCACCGGTTCTTTGACTCTCGTGACGTCCGTTTCGACGAGTCCGTCCCCTACTACGTCAGGTACCCCTGTCGAGGTCTCCCGGTTCCCCCCCCTCCCCTCTTCCTGGCTCCAGCTCCTCCTCCTCCCGCCCCTGCTCCTCCGGTACCCCCTCCTGTTTCCGCTCCGTCTGGTGTGTCCCACGCTACTCCCCCCCCCTCGGTACCCGAACAGGTCTCTCCTCCCTCCCCTCAGTCATCCTCACAGCCTCCGCAGCAGCCGTCAGCGCTTCCTCTGCCGGCCACTGCGGACTCTGAGGGTGTTGGTGCTCGAGGTGAGGGCTCTGGCGGTGCTCGCTCTGGGGGTGCTGGCGTTGGAGCTGTTCGTGCACCTACAGGAGCCGCCCGTTCTGGGGGTGTTGGCGTTGGCGCTGAGCGTGCACCTGCCGCAGCTGCCCGTTCCGAGGGTACTGGAGCCTGTGGCGGTGCTGGAGCTGGTGGTGTTTCTGGAGCTGGAGAGTCTGGGGCTGGTGCTGGTGCCACTGGGCGCACCACGACTGGGGGTGCGGGTACACCTCCTACAGGTACTGGTCGTGCTGCCGCGGGAGGTACTCGCTCTGGGGGTGCTCAGCCGGGTACTGTCGAGGACGGAGGAGGTTCTTCTGCTGCGTCTCCTGACACCACTCCTCCTCCTCACCCCTACCCGACTCGTTACCAGGCCCTTCTTCGTCTAGAGCGTGAGGAGCAGCAGCGTTTGGAGCGTGAGAGGTCGGAGGTCCAGCAGCGTTTGGAGCGTGAGAGGTTGGAGTTGCAGCGGGAGCAGCAGCAGCAGCAGCAGCAGCCGCAGCAGCAGCAGCAGCAGCAGCAGCAGCAGCAGCAGCAGCAGCAGCAGCAGCAGCAGCAGCAGCAGCAGCAGCAGCAGCAGCAGCAGCAGCAGCAGCAGCAGCAGCAGCAGCAGCAGCAGCAGCAGCAGCAGCAGCAGCAGCAGCCGCCGCCGCAGCAGCAGCAGCAGCAGCCTCTGCCCCCTGTTTCGGGCCTTCGGGCCCTTGGTCTCCCCTCCTCTCCTCCTGTGTTCGGTCCTACGTTTCCTCCTCCGGACTCCACTCCGGCTGTCTTCCCTCGTTCTCAGTCTCCTACATCCCCCCCTCCTCTCGCCCACACTTGGGCCTCTCGTCCTCCTCG